TGGGGGGTGTCTGATTTCTTTCGCCGGCTTTTCGATCGAAGTCAACAGCTTACTCTGCTGGGCTGCTGTTTGCACACGAAGTCCGTCATGAAATCAAACTCGTTTTGGCCCAGCCAGAGTTCGGGCAGCTCCTTGATGCGGTCCAAACCCATTTCTATCACTAAGGACATGAGCACTTCCTCGTCGATGAAATCAGTGTCTATGACATTGGGCGGCAGCATTGCAGCAGGGACGTGGGCCACCGAAGCGGGCATGGTGCTGCCGCCGCCGCCGCTGCCGCCTGCGCGGGTGCTGCTGCCGCCCGCGCCGCCGGGGGTGCTGCTGCCGCCGCTGTGCTTGGGGTTGCAATCTCGGAAGTGCTGGTTTGTCCCGTTCATCTGGTGGCCTGCAGCAGGATGCAAATCCGGCATGTAGTGGTTGTGGGGGTAGGGGTGATGGTTGAAATACTGGTTGTTGAGCTTCTGCAGCTGCATGCTGGCCGGCAGGGAGCCTCCCTGGCTGGCCACGGGGGGCCCCATGAACTGGGAGTTGTTAAACCTGGCCGCGGGGGCCAGCGGGGGGTGGCCTCCGTTCACAGTCCCCGGCCCCATGGCGTGCCTGATGCCGCTCGTGGCGTTCAGGTTCCCGGCGCCGTAGTGTATGTGCTCGCCCATCAGGGCGTTGAAGGCGTGCTGGGGCTGCTGCTGCTGGTGGTGGTGGGGGCTCGGGAACTGCCCCATGCCCATGCGGTGGGCAGGGTGGTGGTGCAGCCCGTTGGTGCCGTCGGGGAAGCGCCCGTGGTTCATGGCCATCATATGGTCTGCCATTTCCAGTCCTGGAAGCGAACAGAGCGGACGGTAAGCCCCGCGCCACACGTGTCGCCCACCATACAGCACACCCCACTTTCCTCGCCAGTGGCCCCCCGGGCTCCGCGCGCGCACGTCCCCTGCAGACCCCTTGGTCCGTGCTCCAGGCTCGCCAGCACCTCCGATCGGCCACCCGCCCTCGGAGCGGGGCGCTGCACACACAGCCCCTTCCCCTGCGATCGGGCTGAGGGACCCAGCCCACACCCCTCTGCTCCCCGAAGTGGCCTGATAAAGGAAGTGCCCCGCAGCCGGCCGCGAACTTCAGGCAAGAAGGCAGCCTCCCCATCCTGTTGTTGCACATCCTGTTGTTATTCCCCAGCTCCGCCTCGCGCTCTTCCTCCGGGCAAACCCAGCCCTCGGAGGACGGGGCTGGCAGGAGCGCCACCGGCTGCGCCCGCCGCGCTCACCTTCCGTCTTTGAGATTTCAGCTCCGAAGACCGAGGGCGGGATCGTCGGGTCCACGCCGGATCAGCCGCACATAGAGGGGACCTTCCGGGCGTGCAGGGTGCTGGCGGGCGCAGGCTGGGCACCGAGGTCTTGCAGTAGCCGCTGGGGCAGGAGCGGAGCCGTTCCCTTTTCTTCCCCCTCCGCTGCCCTCACAGCTCGGCGAGGCCGCCCGGCATCTGCCAACAATGAGCTGTGTTTCTTAGGGCTTTGGCCACTGTTAATATAAGCATTTCAGGAAAGGCGGAGCAAAAGCCTCCCTGCCGGGCGGCACCAACACACGGACTGCGGAGTTTCGGCACGCCCGGATTGGGCTCCGCAGCCGCGTCCCCGCGGCCGGCGGCACGTGCGCAGAGGCTGCGGCCGCCCCGCCCCCTCTTGTTTCCTCCCGGCCCAGAAACATGGGGCCGATCCTGCTGTCCGCCCTCTCGGGGGCCGCCTGTACCCGGAAAGCAGCAGGGCAAACCTGCGCGCGCCCCATCCCTAGTTTGCCCGCCCGGTTCACCGAGAGGTCTGGCTTGCGTTTTACCAAAAAGTAGGGGTTTGCTCGGCGCCCCCTCCCTCTTGCGTGCTCTGCTGCCCCCTGGCTTTGCAAAAGCCTTCCCAGGTTGCAAAAATGGTCCCCGAGTGGGTCTTTAAAGCCCCAGGCTTCTTATTCTACGCCCTTCCTGGGCAAGCTTTCTGGGGCTGTGCCTTTGTGTGTGCATAAAGGGGGTGGGGGTCTCCCCTGTAAACAGCACCAAAAGTCGCTGCGTGAAGATGCATCTCCCCCCCCCCCTTTCAAGGACAGGAGCTGGGGGCGGGGAGCTGCCGCCGCTGCAGGTGGACGGAGCGCGCTCGCGGGCCCGGCCGCCCCACTCCGGCTCCTGGTGATTCAGTCCGCACTTTAGGATCCTCCCTCCGCTCCCGGGGTACGTGTGCTTCTGCTAAGTTTGCGTTTGCTGCTCTTGGTAGCTTTGGCATCCGAGCTGAGGCGTCTCTGCTCTGTAAACAAACTCAGCGATCCTCGTCCCCAGATCCACCTTTTTGCACATACAGTTTCTTGCTTCTGCTGTTGCCCTTGATCCGGGAGGTGGGGTGTGTGCAAACTTGCACAGTCTCCCTCCGGGCTCTGCTTGATGGTTTGGGGTTGATTTAGAAGCGAATGGGTTTGCAATTAAGAAATTCGAGGGCTGAGTAAGGCAGCTGTTGCTGGGGGTGGGGGGGGGAAGCAAACAGATAATATGGTAATCGTTTTGTAAATAAAGTCATTCTGGGGGTGGGCACGTAGATGCATGTCTCACGCGTGTGTGTGTGTGTGTGTGTGTGTTCGCGCGCGAGCACTCGCCCGTACCTGAGACTTGCTTTTCAGTAAAATTATATGCTGGGGCAATCCCACAAAAATCCCACCGGCCTCTAGTCATTCATGGGACAGAGTCGAACTTCCCCATTGGGTTTCCGAGGCCGGCTACTCAAAGGAAGCGGACTGCATGTTCTTTCTTCTGCAGAATGATTGGTGGATTCGAACCTGCCACTTCTATATTAACCACGGAGCAATAATAACAGCATTGTTTCCCAGAAGGCACAGCCAACTAACCCGGTCGCTCATTGTTGGCTCATTGACTTGCTCACCAGATTCCTTACATAGATCTGGGTTACTACCCAGCCTGAACTCCTACTTTCTCACGTGAGAGTTTAGTTATTTTCCAAGAGAACGAGGAGGGTGCCTCGAGGTTTCATATCATTTTTGTGTGTGTGTGACAATCAGGAGTTTAGCGCTCCACATGAACGCTGTCTCTAGTTGTTTCTTCATAACTGAATAGCCTTTGAAGATTGGTGCCCGCCCCCCACCCCTCTCCGCTCTCTTGCTCAATGGCCTTTTTTTTTTTCTTTTCACCCTCTTTTTTTTTTTTTTTTTTTTACTTTCCCCCCTCTTTTCTTTCATTTCTTTATTTTTTTTTTAAGGCTTTAATTCGTGAGGGTGGAAATTCCGATGCATCTCCCTTTTAGGAATTCGCAGGAGACCTAGTGTTGAAGTCCATTATCCGGCTCTTCCTTTGGTGATGCATTTTTTGAATGTTGACTTTCTCACCTTTTCATCCTTTCCCAAACTCCTCAGCATTTACAGCGGTGTAAACAATAGTGTGCATCATACTTTTTATAACATTTGTATTACGATTTTGGTGAACGTTTACAGAGGAATGGGTTTTCATGCATTCTTGATAACACATCTCCCTCCCATTCACTTTGTAATGCCTGTCTTGCTTATCCAGTTCTTCACATGCAGGGTGCTGCATTGCTACTTGGAACAATTGCCTCTTCGATTGCTGACCCACTGCCCTCGCCTCACCCACTGCAGGTAATGGATTTGCACCAATCGACTTGGGCTTGGAAGAGAGGTGAAGGGACTGTTTCCTACCGGGGGGAAAAAAAAATAAATCCAAAATTTGGTAAACTCCAATTAAAAAAAAAATCCCTAAAGTTTGTTTACTTCCCTTAGCTCTACTGCAGTGTCTTACAACACAAAGAACAGCTCTTAAATGTCTAATCTAAATTCCTTTTGTAACCATTAAGGAAAGGTGCAGCTCCCTCCAGCTCCAGTGGTTTTGCATACTTCTGAGAAATTCTTCTAAAAGGTCACCTTCTACCCTCCCCTCCCCCTCCCCCACTCCCTTAAAGGAGAAAAAACAAGTTACTGGAGCTCACTCACTCATTGCCTTGGAGTCAGAACCAACTCAGTTTTGACCCTCCAGTGAGTTTTTGGAGGCTGTAAATAGTGTGGGAAATTGTCCATCTTTCTCTCTTGAAGCCAGTGGTAGATTTGAACCACCACAGAGGCACCACCTTTGAGTTGCCTGGGCAGCTCCCTACTGGTTTCACCATCAGGTTCTCTTGCTAGAACTAGCTGGTTGGAAAACCAGTTGCTTGCTACTCCTTTGATTCCGACTTTGGTGACCCGGCCATGGTCAAGAGTACAACTGTGCTCGATGAGGTTTCCAGGCTCAACATTAAGGAAACAAAGATTCTCACCACGGGGCTGATTGACAGCATCATGATAGATGGTGAAGAGATTGAGATTGTTGACAGCTTCAGTTTGCTTGGCTCCACAATCAACACAATCAACCAATAGCCAGGAAATTAAAACACGAATTCCATTGGGAAAGTCTGCCTTCAGAGACCTCTCCAAAGTACTGAAGAGCAACGATGTCAGTCTGGAGACTAAGGTGCACCTGATACAGGCAATGGTCTTTGCACTTACTTGCTATGCATCAGAGAGCTAGACAATGACTAGGGATGATAGGAGAGTTGATGTCTTTGAGCTGTGGTTCTGGAGAAGAGTATTGAATATACCATGGACTTCTAGGAGAACAAACAAGTTTGTCCTGGAGAGGGTGAAGCCAGGCTGCCTCTTGGAGACATGGATTCTAAAGCTTCATCTGACATACTTTGGACATGTTGCAAGGTGAGATCAGTCCTTGGAGAGAGGCATCATGCTTGGGAGGGTGGAAGGACAGCAAAGGAGAGGAAGAACCTTGATGAGATGGATTTATTCAGTCACTGGGGTAATGGGCATAGGTGTGTCAGAGACAATAAGATTGGCAAGGGATAGAGCAGGGTTTGGGGCTGTTGTACATAGGGTAGCTATGAGTTGCAGGACACTCAACAGTACGTAACAGCAACAACTTTTCAGAAGCCAATTGCCCCACCATTTTTTCTAGGTATGTCTAGATATACTTGAACCTCCAGCCTTTTCAATAACCGTTGAAATACCCAGAGACTCTGATTGGAAGTCCTGGTTGGAAGTTCATTCATGTGTCCATCCAATGAATGCATCCTAATCTACCAGTTGCTATACTAAGGCCTTGAGGTTGCAATTGATGGTCAAGAGAAAGAGACCAACAAGCAGGCCTTGGACACACTAATTAATGCTACCACAGCCTTAAATACAAGGGCTTCAGGGAGCACAGAGGAGAAATTACTAAGCCAGGCTTAGCGACACCTAGGAAGGCTTTCCTGGAGAGGTGGCAACTAAATAAAACCTGGGACTAGTAGAAGGTCAGTCATACCAGAAGGGGTAAGAAAGTTAGAGCCTGGTTGTGGGTGCAGAGGTGATGAATACTAAGAGCTCAGTGTCCTCAAGTTAAGAAATACGAATTGTCACCACAACAAGATAAAGGTAAACAATCCAACTGAAAAATGGGCACAGGATATGAACAGTTCACCAAAGAAGACATACAGATGGCCAACAAGCACATGAAGAAATGTTCAAAATCCCCAGCTCTAAGAGAGATGCAAATCAAAACAACTATGAGATATCATCTCACCCCAGTCAGAATAGCAAAATTTAACAGAACAGCAAGCAACAAATGCTGGAGAGGTTGTGGGGAAACTGGAACCCTTATTCACTGTTGGTGGGAGTGTAAAATGGTACAACCCCTGTGGAAGGCGGTATGGTGCTTACTCAAAAAGTTGCAAATAGAGATACCACTTGATGCAGCAATTCCACTACTGGGAATATACTCCAAAGAGACCATAACTAA